CGCACCAGGGTTCTTTTGGGGTTTTTTTAAATTTTTTTTTTCCTTTTCCTTGCTTGCACTCATTGACTGGACAGAATTGCAGAAAATAAAATGCTTGCCATATCATCCATCCCTCCATTTGGTTTTTCCTGAATTTCTTTACATGCACAATGAGCTGTGATGAACACACTTGTAGCTAGGAAACCAAAGCCACTTTTTAATATTCTTACACACTTCCACTGTAATCAGAATACTCAGGATTTTAATTTTAGAAGGCTCAGACACCAAACTCCAGCTGAAGTTACACAGAGCTGGGAGAGCTGCTAAAACAAAATTGCACCGTATCTGCTGTGCTGTGACAGATTTTCTATTTCAGTTGCTCCTGCAGCTTTTCATCAACGTGTTTTTTAGAAATACCCACGAATTTGCAACCCCTTCCTAGCTGCAAATGAAGGCTTCTTTATGCTTTAATCATAGTAACCCATGACTGTCTGCTCACTTAAAAAAAAACCACACACCAATACCTGTGGCTTATTTGTCTCTGAATCATTGTGCAACCTGTGGAACAATCACCTTTTTAAACAGGGATGTGTTTCTTGCTATTTAACAGCTTTCTAGGTTAATACTGCCACCCAGCTTGTCACTGTCTGGCACCATTTATCTGAACCTGTCCGAGCTGCTGCATGTGGGCTCCAAGTGGAAAATATTAACTAGATTGTGCTATTTGCAGGAGAATGAGGCTGACAGCTAAAAAAGCTCAAGACTTGGCACTCAGAAGCAATACCAGGAATGAAGGCAGTTTTACATTATTTTGTACTATAGTTATTTTCCTGGTAAGGAATTTACATCTTCAGGAAGAGTCTTGTCTGTGTGTCTTGTATCACACCAGCAATGGAAACAACAAATTTTTTTTAATTCACTTTTTTTTTAATTCACTTTTTTTTTTTTTAGTTTACATTGTGTATCTCACTGTCTGGTTTTCCCTCTGAATACTGGGAAGTGTCTCTATTTTCATGACAAGATAAGTGACAGGTTTAACTAGAAAAAGCAAGATTCCTTACTTTACCTGCTAGTATTTGTTATAGGAAGTGTCATCTGAACACATGAGAAGAAATAAATAAAAATCCAGGCACCCTTTATCGTGCACAGATGTCAGCAATGAGAAACTGGTGGAAAATTCTGTTTGCATTTTGGCAAGTCATTAAGTTTTGGCAGAATATTTGGAATCAATAAAGAGAGACCTCTGGAGTTCCCAGGAACATCTTCTGCATTCACAGGAATGGGTTCACTCCCGGGTGTTCTGTGATCCCAGGTAACTGTGCTCCACATCCCAGCAGTTCTGGGGTAGAAGCTGGTGTCCGAAGGAATGGGGTAACAGCCACAGCATTTGCCCCACTGGTAAGATTTTTCAGGGGCACAGAGACAGAAGGCAGTTTTTCAGAGATTAACCATCTCCCTCTGCAATATGTCCCTGGCAATAATCAGTTCTAGAGGATTTGGTGAGAAATAAGAGGCAAACCCCCGTGCCTGGGGTTTTGCATTTCCATTTTTACAGTGGTTACTGGAGAAGTTGGAGCTGGAGAAGCCCCACTGCCAAGGGGGAATGGGTGCTCCAGCAGGACACACTCCCAAAGCCACCAAAGGACAGAACAGATCTCTCCACAGGGACAGAAAACTCAAAGAAAATTTACCAAGAAGAAAAATGTTAGCATCTCCATCTAGTCAAGGTTCCCCCATGGAAATGAAGCTGCTTCTTCTGTCCTTATCCTCTCTCCTCCCTCAAAACCAAACTCCTCTCTGCAAAACTCTTTCCCAGCTGCTAATAGAGGAGTGCCTCAGGGTATCTGAGCTGCTTTTAGGCTCTCTGCAGGAAAAGAACATGATGTCGTTAGATTTAAATTAATCACACAAATTTTCATTAAAGAAAATTTTAGATTCTCTACATGTATAAGAGCTGAAACTACAGATCTAAAAAAAAAAGACAATTATCTCCAGGATATGACTTCTTTGCCACTGTTTTTACATTGAAAATGTTAGTGTCAAAACCACCGAACAATTCAGAGTACAAAACTTGGCCATTTATTGCAATATTTACACGATGAAAACCAGTAATTTTCATGCTTTCAAGCAATGCAAGTGTTTTAGCTTTTACATGTTAATTTGCTCACAATGTCCATGTATAATCATCCTTCATTTTCTTTACAGTTTCTTTACATCCTACATTTTTCAGGGGTTCAGTTTTTAACAAAATTCCAGCGATAAAGCTTGTTGGCAAGTATGATCCAAAGTTAATCTGAGCAGTTATTGGATACTCCAAATGGAGAACAAACCTTATACTTAACAAACATGCACCTGGTAATAACAGCTGCAACCATACATAAAGATGAAAAATATATCAAATTAAGCCCCCCATCAAAGCATCTAAAATTAGAAATGCTGGAAAATGCATTCATAAACAAGCTAATCTTGAAGAACCAGAATACATTCAAATAATTGGGAATGGTACATTTGACAAAATTAACCTACTTAGAGACAACTTAAACCCCCAATAATTCTACTGAATTAATTTCTTCCCTAGATTTCATTAGGATCAAGAAAAATCTGATTTACAAGGGTATAAGGCATCCATAAACTTTAATAACAACAAGTCAATCAGGCTCAATAATGAAATACAGCCAGATTATGTCTTTTTGAATCACAAAATCTTGGAGGATTGCATTCAAAATTTTCTCAAATCCTGTGTTTGTAAGAATGACAAAATAGAATCATAGAACATTAAGGGTTGGAAGATCATCTTGTCCCACCCCCCTGCCATGGCAGGGACACCTTCCCCTGTGCCAGGCTGCTCCAGCCCCAGTGTCCAGCCTGGCCTTGGGCACTGCCAGGGATCCAGGGGCTCCACAGCTGCTCTGGGCACCCTGTGCCAGGGCCTCACCACGCTCAAAGTGAAAAATTTCTTAATATCTAACCTCAATTTCCCCTTTTCCAGTTTGTACCCATTCCCCCCATCCTGTCACTCCAGTCCCTGATGAAGAGCTCCTCTCCAGCTTCCTTGCAAGTCTCTTCAGATTCTGAAAGGTGTTTTGAGGTCTGCACACAACCTTCTGCAGGATGAACACCCCAATTTTCCCAGCGTGTCTCTGCAGGGGAGGTGCCCCAGTCCTCTTATCAATTTTTGGACTTGCTCCAGCAGAATTATACAAGCCACTGCATGGGCTCTGTTCTACCGGCTGCACTTTCACTAGGGAACCTGATAAATTAAAAATACTGGTAATAAATACCTGCACAGCAAGACACACACATGTGCAAGACCACCTTTCAGCAGGGTAGCTCTGGGACAGAGATCCTCCACCTGTGTCACAGGCTCTTTTGGAGAAGCACAGATAAGAAATTATGCAAGACCAACTAGATTCTGCTTGGCTGAGAAGTAACTTAGTACACATGAGGAGAAAGAAAAAAAAATAAATAAAATAAAAAGAAGAAAGCTCAGGTTAGCTCCCCAAATCCTCCCCTGGCAGCAGAGCCAGCCTCACTGCACAAACTGGTTTATGGGAACAGATGGAAGTGCTTTCCCAGTTGTTTGTTCCCATCACCACAGCAGCCCCCGTGCCAGAGCAGTTGTCTGCACAGCAAACCAGAGCAGGGAACTCTTCCAAAAAGCTTGCTGGGGTTTTGTGCTGGCTCACAAAGCCACACTCGCGTCAGGGCACGAGTCCCTGAGTGAAAAAAAAAAAACCACTCCTTTCACAAGCAGCTTCCCAAGTTTCCAAAGCTACCAAAAGAGCCAGCAATGACAAAACAAACCCCCAAGATCTGGAGAGGGGGAAAAGGAGCCAGACCCAGTAAGGTACATCTCCTTTTAGCCCATTTGCAACAAAACCTTGGCCAAAAAAACGCTTAAAAGCATCCCTAAAAACATTCCAGGGATTGTACAGCTGCCTCAGAGTATTTGTGATTTAGGTGGGATGTCTGAAAGCACACTGAAAACATGTATGGGATTAGATGCTAATCTCTAGAGCTGTCCTTAATGAAAAGATAACGTGCCAGATTAGCTTTCAACAAAAACAAGAGAAATCTTGTAATTCTTAATTTCTATTTTAATACTTGCATTTTGACACATAAAGCCCCATTCAGGTATTTAATTCAAAGCGGATAATCACGATGAGAAGCCAGCCTGAAGCAATGATAATGGCCATTATAATTTTTTCCAAATCAGCAGTTACAAAGGGAGCTGAGCCAAAACTCACCGGGATCTGGGCATGTGTGTCCCTGATGGCAACAGAGGGTGGTGGGCTGGCTTGGGAGGGGGACAGTGGTGGCCTTTGGGGGACAGCGGGTGGCTTGTGAGTGGGATGGTGGTGGCTTTTGAGGGGGACAGGGGTGGCTTTTGAGGGACAGTGGGTGTTTTTTGAGGGACACTGGGTGGCTTGGGAGGGGTCGGTGGGCAGTGAATGGGATATTGGGTGGCTTGGGGGAGTCTGTGGCTTTTGAGGGGGACAGAAATGTGAGGGGCTCGGGGGGGTGGCTTGTGAGGGACACTGGGCGGCACTAGGCACGGCGCTTCTTCACAGACCACACTGGGCCTTATCCCCACACCTTAAAAACCCCAATAATAACAACAATAATAACCACCACGATAAAAAGCTCACGACGAAACAAGCACAAATTTCGCCGAATCGCTGCAGGCGGGTTCCCCCTCACACCCGCAGCACACAGGCCGGGGGTTACCACAGCGGCACCTCCCAAACCGCTCTGTCCCCCGCCACAGGGACCTGTCCCTCCGTGGGTGTGGGTGTGTGTGGGTGGGTGTGTGTGGGTGTCCCCACCCCCGCGGCGAGCCGCCCCACACGCGCGCGGCCGCTGCCTCAGTTTCCCCGCGGCGGGGCGGGCTGAGGGCGGCGGCCGTGGCGCTGCGGGCGGTGCTGCCCGCGCTGGAAGGCGGCCGGCCGGGCGGGCTCGCTGGCGGTCGGTCGGCAGGGGATCCCCGCTGCCGTCCCCGCTCCGTTTCCCCGTACCCCCCCGCCTNCCAATCGCGGCGCCGCGCACGTGACGAGCGCTCCCCGCGATGACCTCATCCCTCGGTTGTGGGATGACGTCAAATTCAAGATGGATGGAATCACGGCGGCGGCGGCGGCAGCGCGGGCTGAGCCCTGAGCGGAGGCGCCGAGGGGGGCGAGCAGGGGGGGGCGGCGGACAGGGTGAGTAGCGCCCGCGTGTCGCGCCCGTCCCGGGGGCTCCCCGCGCCGCGCGGGTCTCCCCGAGCACAAATCCGTCTTTTCCTGACGTAACTCTGAGGTGGTTTTTTTTTTTTTTTTTTTTTTTTTTTTTTTTTTTTTTTCCCCTCTCCCCCCCCCCCCCCCCCCCCCCCCCTCTCTTTCCCCCCTCCCCCCCCCCCCTTCCTCCACCGAGCGGGGATGCGGCTCCCGCGCGCATGCGCCGGTTACGAAACTCTTCCCCCCGTCCTTGGCGGGGCGCGGCGCAGGCGCCCGGAGCGGGCGGGAGGTGCCGCGGCCGCCGCCGCCACATCGCCCGCCCCGCCTGGGCCCGAGCCCCGAGGGGGAGGCGCGGGGGAAGCGCTCAGGGCGCATGAGCGCGACCGGCAGCGGTGGAAGGAAGGAAGGATGGATGGATGGAAGGAAGGCGGGGAGAGGCGGAGCGGGAAGAGGCGCGCAATCCTCCGGCTTCTCCGGGCTGCGGCGCCTCAGGAGCCCGTTACCCGCTGCTACGGGGCGTGAGGGCCGCGAGGGTCCGGCCGCCCCAGGGCGTGAGGGACCGGTGTGTGAGGGACGCTGGGGACCGGTGGGGTGAGGGATACCAGGCACCGGTGTGAGAAGGACCGGCCGCCCGAGGGCTGTGAGGGACCGGCGCTTCCCCTCCGCCGGCGGCTCCGGGCTCTTCCCCCGCTGCCGCCCGAGCTGTAGAACGAGAGGCGCGGGAGGGCCGTGGCTCGGTGACACGGCTCCTCCCGCTGTGTCTGGAAGGGAGAGCGCGTTTCGTCTCCCCCTCAGCGAGGTCCCCGCGTGTGAGTGCAGGCAGGTACCAAACAGCATCGATGTCTGTCAGTCTAGGAAGGGGACGGGTCCGAGCATGGACCGGGCTCTGCGCGGTGGTGCCCGGCAGTGCCTGGGACCCGATGCTCAGACGTTCCACCTCAACAGAAGAACTTTCCTGGGCAGTGACCGAGCACCGGGACAGATTGTCCAGAGAGAGAGCGTGGAGTCTCCTTCACTGGAGATATTCCAGGACCATCTGGACACAGCCCTGTGCTGCGTGCTCTGGGATGACCCTGCTGGAGCAGGGAGGTGGGAGCAGATGACCCACTGTGGTCCCTTCCAGTAAACAAAGCGTGGAGTTGCTGCTCCGAGCACTCTTGGGCTGGATTATTCATTAGAAGGATGAGGTACATTTCACAGCCAGGTGGGGAAATCCTCAGTGGTGGGCTGTGCCTGTGAAGGTGTTTTACCTGGTCATAGCTGTCAGAAAGAACCTTGCTATAATCCTCTGTAAAATCCAAGCTGATCTTATGTTCAGATTGGATGAGGCTCGTGTAAATAAACAGAAGAATAACTCCAAGGAGTTACTATTAGACAGGAAATAATTGTGGAATGTGTGTGTACTGAGTAAGCTCATCTTAATAATTAAATAGCAATTGCTTTAGTAGCTCTTCCTTTTTTTTTGTAGTTGGACTCCCAGTGGAAGTAAGAGGTCGGTAGGCTGTACATACAAGAAGAGATTGTGATGAATTACACAATAACAGAGCTTTTTGTGAATACACTGAATATTTAAATTAAAATTAATATTTTATCCTTAGATAAATAATGTGAAACTAGATTTTTTTAAATGTATTTTTGTACAGGAAGTCTTTTTGATGTTAGATCAGGAGTGGTAAATGCACACTGCAGGTAAATCTAGTACTGCTTTATGTGTAGGTTTAGTGTTCTGTTCTGACTTTGCTCAAACTGACAAAGTGCTCTGACTAAAATTTTCCACCAGCGTTTTGCTGATCCTCTTGAGGGGAAGTTTGGAGCAAGTTTAAGCAACTGTTTTTATAAACCTTGTTAGCAAAAAACCCCAAATTATGTGGCCATCTCTTGGGTGGAAGGAGTCCTACATCCATTCTCTCAGATGTGTGTTTCACCCATATGCTGTAGAGTTGTAATTTCTAAAGAATATTTTGTTTACCTGTGGAAGGTCCACCCATCGTGACTGAATCATGACCATTTCAAGAGCTGGCATTTACATGTTCTCAGGAGAGGCTTGCAGGGAGATGTCACAAATTAGAAGCTCTGGAGTTTTCAGCTGCAGAGCCAGACCAGGATTCCCTGGGGATTTCACCACTTGTGAGCTCCCCTGATTCTGCTTCAGTGTTCAAGGTAACTTACCCTTTAGAACACCTTAGTATTCTTACTGAATATAAAGCAGGCAGCAGCTTTTAGGAAGTTCCCAAAGTCCTTTTTGTGCTGTACATTCAGTGATAAATGTGAACTTTTGTGCCTCCTGTTCCCATGTGTAGGTTCCAAGTGCCAGGGTGATACTCTGCCACGTCCATCTCACACTGAGAGCCCTCTGGATCAGCAAAAGCTGGATATTACTGAGAAATTAGGTTTTCTGAGCTCGTGGAGGTTTTTGTGTGTGATGCTAGAGAATACTTGCACACAGAGAATTAAGTGCTCTGATCATCTTTGTAGTGATGGCTGATCACACTTCCTTCAAAATTAGTTAGGGGCAGATCGTAGATCAGCCTGTGGATTTAAAAGGACAGCTTGGCACAAAGCCTTGAGCTTTCTTACTGTATTGAAGTTGTTGTGAGCTTCAGGATGTGAAGCAGTTACTGTTAAAAACCAGCCCTCTGTAGCTTTCAGGGTTTTGAAATTTGCTTTATGTGCGAAATGGTGCTAACTTCAGTGTGTGACCCGGTGTGGACTGGGAGGGGAGAGGAAGTTGGGCTGTGATCAGCCCTTGGTTCGCTCTGCACTGGGAGGGGCTGTGCTCTGAGTCACATGCTGCAGTTGCAACAATTTCAGCTCTCCTTAAACTTTTGAGCAACCGAGCGCCTTCATTTTGAAATCTGTCTCGTGTAAGGATCTGAGATCCTCAGAAAGCAGCAAAAGTCTTCAGAAGCAGCAGAGTCATGGAAAGACTGCAATATGCCCTGCTTTAAAATAGGTGTTCTGTGCAGAGGGGGGTTCCTTCCCAAATATTTGTTGTAGTTGAATATTAGTCTTTGTACTGTAGTGTTTCCATTTTTTCCCTACTGATAATATTAAAGACACCAGTTGTCCTATATTTTCTTTCAATCAGCAGTGAAATAAAAAGAAATTTGTTGTCTTTTCTTATTGAGTACTTTCTGTATTTTGCTGCTCTGGAACAGTTCAGGCATATTTTGTGAACAAGGAAAGAAAGCGTTGGGTGAGTCTTCAGTCTTCCTAAGCTCCTTCCATCTCCACCCCCATCAGTTCATCAGTCTTGCTGTCCATCACAAATATAAGTTTTAAAATCCCCTGGCCTTGGTTGTGGAGGGGTTTTCCCTCTGAGTTGTAGTGAAACACCACATCCTTCTTGTGCAAATTCTCTCCATGTACTCTGTGATGAAAAGACATGAAAAATCCTTTGTCCAAAAATAGATTTTTTTAAATGCCACAAAACTTTTTCTTTGGTAGTAATTTGCATACAAGTAAATTACATTCTTTACAAAGGAAGAAATGCTTTTCCCTTTTTTGTCTGGCAGCATTAATCTCCAAGGTTTATCCTACCTCAGTGAACAGTGTGAGTAACATTTAGGTTGCAATTCATTCTCATCAACCTCTGACAAGTTGTGGTTACTGCAGGGACAGTTGTGACACAGGGCACAGTGAGTGTCCCATCCACCCCCTCACAGACTGCTCTGGACACATCTGTGAGTATCCTCAGAGCACTTCTAAAAAACAGAGTACTTGGGACAGTAAATATTGTCACAGAGCCCCTTTTAATGTAAATTATGAGCCATGGAAGGAAAAGCAGCAGAGTTAGTGATTTCTAATCACTGCCACACTCTGTCATAACCAAAAGGAATTTGTTTATTCTGTACCAAGACATAAGTCTGAGTACAGTCCTTCAGCTGTTGAGGTTAAGGGCCAAATTTCCTGGAATTCCAGTAAAAATATGACCATCTCAATTCTCATAAATACTTCTGAGGAGTAAAGAAAATACAGCTCTTGTTCGTGGAGCTGGATTTTTAAATTAACTTTTTTAACTATGTAAGGCATAGCCTACCTTCAGTTGCTTGTGGACTGGAGTAAACTGAAAATATTCCACATGCTATTCATGAGCTTGTAAATCTCTTAAGGTAAAGCTCAGGTAAAATGGCTGTTGTCTGTCCTGTATCATCTTCCCAGTGTCTTGGCCAGAATTGGTGATGACATTTTCTTTGGATCCTTCAGTGGGAGAAAGATACCTGAATTCCCTGAATCATAACTTTCTCACTTGGAATTTTTTAGGCTCAGCTTTTACATTCTGCATTTTTCAGATTAAATGTATGACTTTTCCCCCTCATGTCTCATTTTCTTAAAGAAACCTTAGTGTAATAACTATTCTGTTAATAAAATAGTACCTTATAGGGATGTGTGGCTTCTCTTCCCATCCAAAATACACCGTGCCTGTAAAAAGCACCATTATAGTAATAGAAATATGACCACAATTAGGGTTTGTCATTTTTACTACACCACCAAAATTAAAAGTTGTATGTAGACAGCTTTTTAATGTGAACTGGGCCACTTAATGTGTCTCATCTAGTAAATCAGGTGACTGAATATTGCTCCATTTGATAAGTATATTTCAGCATTGCCAATAAAATCAATGTGTAGAAATAGTACAAGTGTACACATTTGGTCTACAATTCTTCAGATTTCATGCATCTCTTACCAAAAAAAGTGACAAGAAGTATTTCTGGGGATGAGGTTTCTGTAGGTGTTTAAATTTGTTGGCCATCAAGCCTTTCAGACTTGTCCCATCAGAGAGTATATTTGCAACATTACAAAGCAAACGTTGCTTTGTATTTTGCATTACAAAACAAACACTTCAAGGGAATGAAGGATGAAGAATTCCTAGGGAAAGGTGTTTTAAAACTTGTTACTATTTTGATTTAGTTTACAGCAATTTGGAGGCCGAGTTACACACCTTTTAGTCGAGTCATGGAGGCCAGGACAAATAGCAAATTTTGTTTGATGTGATTTAATCTTCACTAAATGTTTCAGGAAGAACTTTGAGAGCTCCCAGCCAGCATTTCCCTGCCCCGTCTCTTCCATCCTGTCCCTGGATCCGCTCCCTGCTCCGGCACAGGCAGCCCTTCCTCGGAGGAGGAGGAGGACACACGGGCTGCTCCTTGCAGGAGCGATGCCTCAGACTGAGAGTAAGATGAAATTGCACCCTGAGCTGCTGCTGGGTTGTAAACAAGAATGGGAATGACAAGAGGAGCTTTGTGTTCTGACATTCTGGAGTTTGCTGCACGTCAGGGGGAGCTATTTTAAGTGTCAGAACGTGAAACTGAGGGTATGATCTGAATGTGAAAAGTAGCCTCTAATTTCTGAGGCAATTTCATGTCTTGTGTCAGATTAGCTGCTAATTATCTGTCTAGAGTGTAGGGCAAAGAAGGCTGCAGAACAGTCAAACTGAAAGTAGGTTTATATTAGATACTAGAAAAAGACTCTGCTGTGAGGGTGGTGAGGCACTGGCACAGATTGCCCCATCTCTGGAAGGTTCAAGGCCAGGTTGGATGGGGTTCTGAGCAGCCTGGTCTCTGCCCACGGCAGGGGGGTAGAGCTGGGTGATCCTCAAGGTCCCTTCCCAAATATTCTGTAAATCGATGATTATAAAATTTCTTCTTTTTCTCTTCCTAAATTTCTGCTTTTATATGTGTGGAGGATAGATAGGTAGAAATTAGTCCATCAATTTCACACACTAGCAAGCATGTTATTTATGTGATGTTATGCCTGCCTTCATACCAGTGAGTCTCTGTGCTGCCGACCTGTTGGAAATGGGAAACGTTTGTCTTCACAGGGAGAGTTCACAGTGCTGTCTGCAGTGGAGAACAGCAACAGCAGTGAGATCTCATTTCATTAAATCCAGGAAGACAGAACCCCCAGACTTGCAGCAAGAGATTATTTAAGTATTTAGGTAGAAAAAGATTGTAGAAATGCAAACAATATTCCTATGTGGGTTTGCAGCTTGTACCTACAGGTTTTGGGGTATATAAGGAGATGTGTACATCTGTATCTGGTATGGGAGAGTATCTGTGTTGCAAAGGCTGTTGATAGGAGAAGAGATGTTTTATAAACTGTTGTCAAACTCAAATCATAAAATCCAGCATAGGGTCCTTGAGTGGAAGCTTAAGCAGTGGAAGTTCCTTTTTCTTCTGGACTTGTGACAGACAAGTAGGGGAACTTTCTACTCTTCTGGCATCTGAAACAGCACGAGAATTGTCAGAGCCATCAGATCCTCAGCAAAGCACTCAAATGAATGCAATATTCCTGCACTTTCCAGGGATGCCCCAGGAAGTCACTTGTACTTTTTGGCTGAGTCTTATAATCCACATTCCTTTGCTTTCTTTAGTGGGTTTGTCCCTGCCATGTTTCTTGTGTGTTTTCTGTGTTTAAACCTGTTCTGTCTCTCTGTGTTTCCTCCTCCTCCATCCTCGTATTCTCTGCTTCCACCTGCACTTTCTCACAGCCCTGGCACCTCCTTGCTGCAATATTGCATTTCAAGGAGGGTTTCAGAACATCATCTTTCCCACTGCAACCCCAGCACGCTGTTAATGGACATTCACTGACAGAGATTTCCTTACCGTGGAAGTCAGAAGGCAACATCGGCATCTCTTTGTTGCTCATGTATTTGAGGGTGCAGCTGTTGCAGTGAAACCACACCTAAATATCTGCCTGATTCTTTCTGGAATGTTTTAGCTGTAGAATTGGTGGCTCTGTTATTTCTAAAGGTGAAATTTCAGATGGAGGAAGCTGACAAAGAATGGGCAGTTGCCTGGCCCCTGATGCTCATTTGACCTCTCAGCGAGCTGATTAAGCTGCCTGTCCTAGAAAATAGCAAACAGATCTAAAAATCTGGAATGATTTTGTTTATTAGTTCCCTGCTTAATTTTAAGGAGTTGAATCAGCTCACTGGGAGATCAAATGAGCAGCAGAGCTGGTGAAAGGAAGGGGAGAGTAGCACAGGGCTGGGAGGAGATGTGAGAGGAAAGGAAGGGGAGCTACCACTTCAAAGGGAGGTTGCTGTTGAAGATAAGAAACTGTTGGGTCTAAGATTAAGCTTTTTCACCCTTCCCTTGTGAAGAGCTTTCCTGAGATTTCATTTTACAAAAGTTATTTTGAAATAGTAGAGGCAACTTCTCCTGTCCTTGTTCAAAATATAAAATAAAAACAATGTTATACCAAATATGGTACTTAGGCTTTTGAAATCTAGTTTTCTGGGATCAGTGGAGGGCTGTTGAAGGAGGGAATTAGAGGACTGGGACATCTTTCTTACAAGGAAAGGCTCAGGGAGCTGGGCCTGATCAACCTGGAGAAGGGATGACTGAGAGGGGACCTCATTAATGTGTATAGATATCTAAAGGGGGAGTGGCAAGAGCGTGGACCAGGCTCTGCTCCGTGGTGCCCAGAAACAGGTCAAGAGGCAGGTGGGCCAGGCTCTGCTCCGTGGTGCCCAGAAACAGGTCAAGAGGCAATGGGCAGAATTGATGCCCAGGAACTTCCACCTGAGCAGGTGAAGAACTTCTTCCCTGTGCAGGGACAGAGAACTGGGACAGATTGTCCAGAGAGGCTGTGGAGTCTCCCTCTCTAGAGGTATTCCAGATTCATCTGGACACAACCCTGTGCTCTGGGATGGCCCTGCTGGAGCAGGGGGGTTGGACCAGCTGACCCACTGTGGTCCCTTGCAGCCCGACCCATCCTGTGATTCTGTGAAGGCTGACACTAAAATCTCTTTGTGGCCTCCCAAAAGTTCCTGCTGCACTGGCCCTTCTGGGTCTGGAGTCTAAACTTAGTCACTGTTCCTCCTGAGGACCAGCTGAGGCCCTGCCACCAGGCGGTGGGAGATTTCCTGATGTGCTCCTGCTGTTTCCATGATGTCACCTGAACATCATGGAAGAAAAGAAGAAAGCTTTGTTTCCAGTCAGTAGTGAAGGTGGCTGGGGAAAAAAAGGGTTAGAGAGAATAAAAGCAGATTATCTGGAGAAAAGATCTTAGGTAGCTAATCACAAAACAATCTAGTGCTGATGTGAAATACAATTGTTGTTTCGTGTTAGGTAAATAAAGGTAACCTGTGTAATTGTAATTGTGAAATGTGTGGAACATGGCCATGGGACAGTTATAAAGATGAGTCCTGATAAACAACCGAGGAAAACAAAGCATGGAAGAAGGCCTTTGAACCAACCTTTTGTTTGCAATTAGCTATTATAAGACTTAAGCTGTTTTGTAATAAGAACCTTTGAATTATAGCTTTAGAATGTTGCTTTGTATTAAGGATTTTTAAACTGTGGCTTTAGAATATATAAGGGATTTAAACAAAAGAGGGAAGTGAACCTATCCCAAGCTCCTCATGAAATGGTGAAAACATCCTGGAAAAGGAAGATGGGCATCAATGTCACTGATTAATGATTTCAAAAAGGGAAGGTGGACATCACTATCATGGATTAATGGTCCTAGAAAATAGAAGCTGGACCCCCCATCTGGAAGCTGGACCCCACCATCTGGGATACACATCCTGGGATGTACATCCTGGGATATTGAAACCTGGAATAGATCACAATAGAGTATAGAAATTGGAAAGGAACCAAACACCACCATCATAGATTTACAATCCTGACGTATAGAATTGTAATGTAAAAAATTGGAAATAAAAAATTTGCTGAGAAATCTTATGAATATGCATGAATATGATCAATAAATACCAGCAAGCCCAGCAGTCAGTGTGCAGTTGGAAGGGAAAACCCCCACCACTGTACCCAGCGCTGTTTTTGCTCATACCTTACCATATTCATTAATAAATTGAATTACTTCTTGATATATTGGCTGAGTCAAGCTTCTCATTTCTAACACTGACAAGTAGGAGTGCTCAAACACCTGGAACCAAATCTGGTGTTACAGGAGGCTGCCAGAGTTGTGTATCTACGCAGGGTGCCAGGGCTGCCTTTGCGTGGGGCCAAGCCCTGGCTTTGGGGAGCCAGTTCTTGTCTCCTGTGGCAGTTCCTATTGCTGCCTCTTCAGTTATGCCAATGCAATAGTTCCTGATGTGGTTCACTGTAAAAATCAACCAGCATTTGAAAAGAAATAATGTTGGGTGTTTATTTATTGTCTGTTCTGCTACATCATACGGGCCTGCAAATATTTGTACTGGCACAGCTGAAGGAGAAGTGACCTGCAGGGTGCAGGTAAAATGAACACGAGAGCAGGGATGACTTGGATCAACTTTGTTATTGAAAAGTATTCATGTAGTGAAATTTTAACACATTGTACTCTGACTCAGGTATTCCTTGGGTTGATTTTTTTTCTACTTCTAAATATTTCAGGCTTTCACATGATCTGGGTAAATGTCTTAAAATGGCTCTGCAAAACAGTTCTGGTGTGTTTTTTGCTATTGTTTGTTTAATTTCTGCCTGTTGTGTCTAAAGGCTATTAAGCTGAAAGTCAAGCCCTTGAATTAGGAAATACCAGGATTAAAGCTGCCTTTGGAGGATTGATTTGGTCCTTTGCCATTTGTGTACGTTGCAGCCTTGGTTCCTGTTAAAGTGACAGAGTTAAATTGCACCGTGCGTGACTGGAGGGATGTTTGTGTCTGTGGTGTTTAATGTGATGAATTGAAGTTGTTGTAGGAATGAAGAAGGGAGCTGTGGCCAGAAGGATGGGTGACTGCTGGATTCTGCTTTAGTCCTGCAGATTTTACACCACTCTCTCCTGGGTACACTGCACTGCTGGGTTACGTGGGCAGAGGGACACGTAGTAATTACATGGTGTTTACTCTGCCAATTTTAAAAACACAAGGGCAAAGCAGATTAAAATGAAAGATCTTAAAATATTTCAAAACATTTGACTAATACACTCTTTCCACTGTGATCTTGAAGTGTGGGTACGCAGCAGCTTCTATTGGGTGTCTAAACCACAGTCAAAGTTTCCTGAGCTCTGTTGATCTGCTGCCTCCATTTCCCTTCTGCAACTTGCATCCCAGAGGAATCACTTGAATTTGCAAACTCATTTCCAGGTGAAGGGAAAGATGCCCTCCTGGAGCACTTACAACTCTGTAAGTGTTCATGGGTGTTCAGACCATGAAACTGGATTAGGGCCAGCCACACTCTGCCACTTTAAATTGCACTGGCATCCACAAAGGAGGGGGGTAATGAACCACCATCCTCACACCCCCACCTCCATCCTCCCAGTCTTAAGTAAAACATAGAAAGCAAAACAAACCAGATTGCTTTCTGAAATTGAGACTGACTTCACTGCTTTTTATAGATGGAGGTGTGGGGGAATTATGCATTATAGTTATCTAAGGTGAATTAAGGATAAATTAGTGTTTATGAAATGACACTTCAAGGCACTGAAATACTCAGTAAAGACTGATCTGATGAGGAAACAGCATTCTGGTTTTGCTGTTGCCATGTCACTATGAACTCATTTGGTATTTTTAGGTGTAGAAGTGGTAGCTCAGTCCTTGATGTGATCAGTGCCCTAAGACACTGCCTGCAGCATCCTTTAAGTCATTTCTCAATAATACCAATTTAGACTTTGATCACTTATTTATACCCATTAGTTTTAAGATTTACCATCCTCATTTATTAACCATGGGATTATAGCTTCTCAGTACTGTTTTTTTTATTTTGATAAACTTTACAGTTTTGCTTGTTGGCTGATGAAAAGTGAAACCTTTTTGTTGTAGTTGCATGTATCATGTACAAATGAAAATAAAAAGTAGTTTCTCAAATCAGCTGTAAAAGTAAGATAATTGCTTTTAACAGACACATCATTGACTTGTTTTTAAACCACCATGGTGGTAGTGTAGAGAGCGTCCATGAAAAAATAAGAGAATGTAATATTGCTGATTTCTCTGTGTATGTTCTTGTGCACAGATATATAAATTGCAGCTCCTGCCATTGAATTTCTCTGTTTTACTTAAAACCAGGTTATCTTCTTTTGTTAAGCTCTCATCAGGAGCAGCATATTGAGTCATCAAGGCATCCTGCAGTATGGAGTGGGCAGTGTTTTGAATCACATGCATCATTGAGATTTCTGCACTGCAGCTTAATTTGCCCTTTTGTACTCTTGGATGCAGCCAAGGGTAACTGTTCCTCAGATATATGGGTTGTGGGCATAAAGTGCTCTGATGCTAATGAATGAAACAGGGATTTCAGTTCTCTGATTGCTTTTCATCCTGAGCAAAGCAATGCAGGGAGACTTCAGTGAAAACTGACATTTCCCAGAAACCAGATCCTGCCAGTGCAGTTTTAGGGGACACATACAGTTAGAAGTAGATATTAACAGCACTTATTAAGCATAAGTAAAACATGATGAATTTAGATTACGGGCAATAATGCTGTTTCCTTCTCCCTTCCCAGTATTAATGCCCTTTCCATCATCCTATTAAAAGTGACAACAAAACCCCCTTAATTTGGCTCCTCAGCAGGAGTCTGTCAGGGTTGCTTAGGCTCAGAAAGGTGAGTTGCTATAACTAAGCTTTATATACCTGGTCCCAGAGTCCAGAGTTTATCAATCCAGTTGTCAAGATAGATCTTCATAAAGCTGAAGCAGAGAAAGAGATGATCAAGAGTGAAATGATTGAACTGTTCCTCCCTGTGGACAGGTGTATTACAGGAGGAGAGCACAGCCCATCCATCCATCCATCCATCCATCCATCCATCCATCCATCCATCCATCCCCCAGTTAGTTAGGTTTAATATTCTTGGTGTAAGATTAGCAATTAAAATGATACTTGAGCGTGGGCAGATAGGCTGGTTCTTCCCATTCCTGTGCTTTTTTGGAGCTACCAGCAGTGTTTCAGTCCCAAACCTTTCCTCCACACAAGCTGTTTCTTTAATTGCTCTTTGATGGTGATTTAGCCAGTTTACAAAGTACAGGAGATGTGTTTACTTTGTCTCCAGCAATTCATATAAGGCAACCTACAGCTTTGTTGTTGTTGTTCTTTTTCAGGGACATCAGAATCATGGAGGGGCTCTTGCATTACATAAATCCAGCACATGCCATTTCCCTCCTGAGCACCCTGAACGAGGAGCGTCTCAAGGGACAGCTGTGTGACGTTCTGCTGATCGTAGGAGACCAGAAATTCCGAGCTCACAAGAATGTTCTGGCTGCCAGCAGTGAATACTTCCAGACTCTGTTCACAAATAAGGAGAATGAGTCTCAGTCAGTGTTTCAGCTCGACTTTTGTGAGCCAGATGCTTTTGATAATGTGTTGAACTACATTTATTCTTCATCCTTGTTCATTGAGAAAGGCAGCCTCGCAGCTGTGCAAGAACTGGGCTACAGTCTTGGAATATCTTTTCTTACAAATATTGTTTCCAAGAGTCCTCAAGCTCCTTTTCCATCTTGTCCTATGAAAAAAATACTCTACCAAGATGAAGATGAAAGTAGTTCTCAGAAGAGAAGTGTCATCGTCTGTCAGAACAGAATTGAAGCACAAGCGAAAAGCGTAAATCAAACACAACACGACTTAAGCCATACTCCTAAACCTTCACCCTCTGTAGCTGTCAAAGCTGGCAGCAGACCACAGGTAACAAAACCAACTGAAACCCTTCACAACTTATCACTGACTGAAAGGAGGTGGCTGAAAGAAGGCCCTGTGAGCTATACAAAGGTTCATGAAACTTCTGGAACTGTGGAGGATCAGAGCAGAGGTGCTTTAGTGAAAAGGAACATGGTGCTGCCTCAGATGTCTTTAGCAGAGAAAGAAATGGCAAGCGGCGAGCCAGGAAGCAGCGCTCAGCTTCTGAGAGGAAAAGTTGCAGAGATGTCATTGAAAAGACCACGTCCACCAGTCTTGTCTCTGCGTGGGGCAGGGGATTCCACATTTTTGTTGCGAGAGGCAGGAAAAGGAAACGGTCAAGGGGAGGACAGGAATTTGCTCTACTACTCCAAGTTAGGGCTGGTAATCCCATCTAGTGGGTCTCGCCCAGAAAACCAAAGTATTGACAGAAGTGGGCCCCTTGTAAAAAGTCTCCTTCGAAGGTCACTGTCCATGGACAGCCAGGTTCCTATTTACTCACCTTCTGTTGACCTAAAACCTGCACAGGTATCCTCGTGCTCCTCACCGGGAACTAACGATTCCCAGAAGACATTTAATGTTGCATCCCAAAAGTCATCCTCGAAAGAGTCATCGGAGAAGTCGGCCTTGGATGAGAAGCCACAGGTAATACACCCACACCGCCTTAGGTCCTTCAGTGCCTCTCAGTCAACGGATCGGGAGGTCGCTTCCCCTCTCTCGGAGGTGCGGATCAAAACTGAGCCCAGCAGTCCCCTCTCAGATCCTGCTGAAATCATACGAGTCACGGTGGGTGATGCTTCAGCATCGGCAAACAAAGACTTTGCTTTTAAAACTGAGGATGACCGTAAGGAACCAAGCAGACTTCCAGCCAAAAGGAGGTTCCAGGATGATAGGAGGCTGCCGTTCAAGAAGCTGAAGGCGGATGAGCAGGGTTCTCCTGGCTCAGAAGAGAACTTCGAGGAAGGCTCGAGCCCCACGCACCTTGATGCCGATTTCCCTGATTCTGATGTCAGTAAAGATGAATACAGCGAGATGGAAGAAGCAAGACCAAATAAAAAATTTAAATGTAAACACTGCCTTAAAATTTTCAGATCGACCGCGGGTCTTCACCGCCATGTTAACATGTATCACAATCCAGAGAAGCCCTATGCTTGTGACATATGCCACAAGAGATTCCACACCAATTTCAAAGTGTGGACACACTGCCAGACACAGCATGGAATCGTGAAGAATCCCTCACCAGCTTCCAGTTCACATGCCCTTTTGGATGAAAAATTCCAAAGAAAACTGATTGATATAGTGAGGGAGAGAGAAATCAAAAAAGCTCTGATTGTGAAACTAAGACGTGGCAAGCAGAGCTTTCAGGGCCAGTCAGCTTCCCAAGCACAACAAGTCATCAAAAGGAATTTAAGGTCGAGAACCAAAGGAGCCTATATTTGTACCTACTGTGGGAAAGCTTATCGTTTCCTCTCCCAGTTCAAACAGCACATAAAAATGCACCCTGGGGAGAAACCCATTGGAGGGAATAAGGCTCCTAAGCAGAAAGATCACATTCACATCGAAAGCCCAGTGGAAAACAAGGAGGTTTATCAGTGCCGTCTCTGCAATGCCAAGCTCTCCTCACTTATTGAGCAGGGAAACCACGAGCGACTCTGCAGAAACGCCACTGTCTGTCCTTACTGCAGCCTTAGGTTTTCTTCTCCAGAGCTGAAGCACGAGCATGAAAGCAAGTGTGAGTACAAGAAGCTGACTTGCCTTGAGTGTATGCGCACCTTCAAGTCATCCTTCAGCATCTGGCGTCATCAGGTTGAAGTTCACAATCAGAACACAATGGCTCCATCAGAGAACTTCTCTTTGCCTCTCATGGATCACAATGGAGAAGTCACCAGTTCGTCACGGCTGCCTCCGCAGTCGGAATCCAATAAAATGAACAATTTTGTTGCTGCAAAGGAGGACGGCGTGTTCAGTGATTCGTCAGAACAAATCAATTTTGATTCTGAAGACTCTTCATGCCTGCCTGAAGACTTAAGTGTTTCCAAGCAGTTTAAAATCCAGATCAAAGAAGAGCCTGCAGATGATATAGAGGACGAGGTCACCGAAACGAGCAGGGAACCTAAGGACGTAGTCTCCAAGAAAGATCCCAGTTTGTGGCCGTGTGAAAAGTGCGGGAAGATTTTCACCTTACGCAAGCAGCTGGAGCGTCACCAGGAGCTCCTGTGCTCCGTGAAGCCCTTTATTTGCCACGTGTGCAACAAGGCCTTCCGAACGAATTTCCGCCTCTGGAGCCACTTCCAGTCCCACATGTCCCAGGCTGCAGAGGAGTCCACAAATAAGGAGCCTGAGATATGTCCACCAGCTAATTCCCCGTCACCCCCACCCTTACCCCCACCCCCTCCACTCCCCAAAATCCAGCCTTTGGAGCCCGACAGCCCCACGGGCTTGCCGGAAAGCTCCGGTACTACTGAGAAGCTGTTCGTGCCGCAGGAGTCGGACACGCTCTTCTACCACGCCCCGCCGCTCTCGGCAATCACCTTCAAGAGACAGTACATGTGCAAGCTCTGCCACAGGACTTTCAAGACGGCTTTCAGTCTCTGGAGCCACGAACAGACACACAATTAGCTTTAAGAGAACCCTTGCAGAGCTGGTTTGGGGGGGCTGTGTTCAGGATCTCAGAGGCCTGCCACATGGACTACAAATTTAAGAGGATCAAAATGATGATGATGATGGAAAATCTGGAATTTGTGATGCTGCTTGGATGTGGAGATTAGGGAAAACTATAACTTGGTTAGTAGGTAGAAAGCAGAGTAATTTAAAATACTGTGGTCTGGGATCTAATAGTAACAGAATAAATTTTATTTTATTTCTTTTGACACTGAAATACAATTGCATCTGGATTGTATGCATGGATCTTCATCCCGTGATGTTGGTGTGTGTGTGTGTATTATATATAAAGTCACATATTAAACGAAAGAGAAACAACAATTTGGATTCTAACTGTGAGCTTATAGTAGTGAAATACTGTAACCAACGTCATAATTTGTTTTTCAAAAAGAAACCAACACACACAAGCTCCATGTAAGTGGTTGCCATGCACTGGCAGTTTGGGAGGAAGTGGATGGAGTGTCTTGCTGTATTGACTTAGGTCTTAGAAACCTTTAGCAATAACAAATAAACCTCAAGTTTGAGTAATCTTGATGTTATTGGATACGAATGTTTGCTATTTTAAGGGAACATAGAGTTGTTTTGTTGTTGTATGGAACTTGTGCAAATTAAAATAGACTCTAAAGTCAGCAATATTATTACTAAGATTTTATATAAGAAGTAGCAGCAAGCCTGCTTTCAGCCATTTAATTATAACTTTCTAAGGAAAATTGAGAGAGGGGGTACTTTGCTTTATATAATGTCCCAAAGACTAATTTCCTATGGATACTTGGGTAGCTGAAGTCATTGTGTAACAGCCATCATAATGCAAATGGTACTGTTTATAACATGAACTGAGGTTGAATGGATGTCAGACAAGTTTCATAGTTTTGTTTCCACTATTTGTACAACTGTTTGTAATTTTAACTACAAAGGAATGTATAACTATTAAATCAACAAGAGAGAGCTCGTTAAGGGACAGGAGATGAATTGTGTTTCTAAACACAAGTAATAAGCTCAGCCATGAAGTACAAAGATATGTTTTAACAAAACCTAAAAATGTAAATATTTATATAGACACCTGTATAAATGAAGAAGTATGTATTTGAAATTTGTATTAAGCGTACATATCCAGCTGAAAGCAGAGGAGAAAATCACACTACAATCACTGCATTTTATGGATACAATGCATATAGAGTAGTTCTTTCTGCCGCTTTACTCATATGTGACTGTGTTGCAATTTTCCAATTTGTTGAAAATTGTGGTAATAATGGGCTGCAGATATTCTGTGTGCTTCCATTATTTTACCTCAAGTGGCAACTGGAGCATTTAGTGTAAGTAGGATCACACATATTTACCAGGAGCTATAGTAAGGGTCCATAGTTCTGCCGCTTTACTCATATGTGACTGTGTTGCAATTTTCCAATTTGTTGAAAATTGTGGTAATAATGGGCTGCAGATATTCTGTGTGCTTCCATTATTTTACCTCAAGTGGCAACTGGAGCATTTAGTGTAAGTAGGATCACACATATTTACCAGGAGCTATAGTAAGGGTCCAATTTTTTCTGTAAGTCAAGGAAATATTTACCCAGAAGTAGGAGGTGAACCAACAGCGAGAAATTCTTTTGCTAGAATTTTAACTTAGTGGAGGGGTGGTGGGTTAGAGTGAACATAAATGATGCACAAACTGTGTTTGTGATCCTGACCAACGTTCCCCCTGCAGGGCTGGCGGAAGGGGGATGTAATTCCACACTGCTGAGTCAGAGCCCAGTCCGTGTCCACTGAAAGCAGCAGGAGTTTGGTCACCAGTTTCAGGGGCAGCAGGAGTGAGGCTTGAATTCCATGTGTAACCATGCGTGTAACTGGTTTCTCAGTATCCCGAGTTCAAAAGGTAGAATTGCAAGCTGATGCTGAGATTCAGCAAAATCAAGCACAAGTGTAACTCCTAAGAATCTGAGGATGGCACACACCAGATTTTTCTCAGTGAAAGCCAAGTGTGCCATCATTTTTTTTTTTTCCCAACAGATATTTAACTATTTTTCCTGTAAGTGAAGTTTGAAAGAATCAGCTCAGGATGGACCCCTGATTTTTTTTCAGCTACCAAAAAAATTGCAATGTTAGTTTCAAGCCTCTTCTGCTTCGTTTTTCTTATGATCTAAAATTGCTACTAGACACCTCTGAAAATAACATGTTGTTCTTTTTTGTCCTCTTTCAGGCAAACTGTGGCTGAGTATGATTAGGTTAATTTGCTTGAGTATCAGTTAAACTCTTTCAGTGGCATTGCAGTTAAAACAAGGTACTTGCTTAATAGTGACATTTCCACTTACTGACTTTTTTATTCCACCTAATAAAACTATAAATTTCTTTCTTACCAGAAGCAATTTCAGAATGAAATGGTTATTGCACTTAAACCTGGTTTTAAAAATCAGAAAAACATAAAGCCTTGCTAAGTACCCTTTATATAATTTAAAAAAAAATCTGTGTGTATAAAATATGAACGTGTTTTTGTAGAATGGTTCCTAAGTTTCCCCAGTGATTCCTCTGCACAACAGCCTGAAAGTTGAGCTGTAGCCTTTTAAAATTCAGTGTGCTTTCTGAGGGAAGGTGGCAACCAGCTCAGCTGGGTCACAGCCATCTCACTTCCAGCTGGGATTCTGCTCTGTGCTATGATGATAAATTCTACACACTTTAAATCAAAACCTTGTGCAACATCTTTGAAGAAACCCTAACCTTTTTCCTAGTGTACTAGGTATTATAAAGAATCCATAAAATGTTTTCGGTCTAAGTAGCCTCCCAAGTTTTTCTTCAGTTGCTTTGGTTTTGAGGGGGTTTTTAAAGTTTTGTTTTCCACTTTGAGCGTGTTCTGTGTGATCTTTATTTTTTTTTTTTTTTTACATTTGGTTCCTGTTGTTTAGTAAAGGAATTCAGGATCTCTAAAATTTAAATATGAGATGTTTATATAGCAGTTCTGGTTTTCTATTAGCTTTTATACAGTATCTTAAAAAGCCCTTGATAGAAGTGTTTATTTTGGAGGATACGGAATAAATATGCTTCCACTTATATAACTTTAATATATGTCTTAAAATTTAAATTATGGGAAAAAATGTTAGTTGCTTGTTTATAAATAAAGTACTTTTGAAGAGTGTCTAGTTTGGCCACAGCCAAAATAAAAGGCAAATTTATTGATGCAAAAGCCTGTTTTCATCATATTTTGTTTAATTTTATAGCTGTGTATCGAAGTGACAAAAAGTTAGAGGTCTTGTTAAATATAAAAAAGTGTTTTGCTTTTTTTTCTAAAATTTGTGACAGGAACGTGCAGATGTTTTAATATATAGATTAGAATCTATAATTCTGTCCTTTTTTTGCTATTTTTATAACCTATCAGATAAATCTCAGAGAACTATCCTGCTTCAGTGGGAGTGGAAACTAGTGTTGCATTTCAGGGGAGCAGTGTTGAGCCATGAAACCTATTTTGGTTTGGGACTTTTTTTTTCCTTTCAGGCACTGCGTTGGCAAAGCCTCTAAGCCTATCTTAAATCCATTAAGATCAGTCTTTTTTTTTTTTTTTTTTAATTGTTCTGTGCAAGTTCTTTGCTGAATTGGGACCACGACCAACCTTGAAAGTGAGCAATGGCAGCAAAACACACGAACCAGTAAGAGAACCGTCTCTGTCTCTGGTTTTGGGATTTTGGTGAGGCAGAGCCAAACACCCCTGGCAGGTGATGGAGGAGATAACCTGGTGAAGAGGGTGAGCCCAGAGTCAGTCTGGGCTGTTTCAAAAATGAGATGTTGCATTATCTGTGACCCCAAGCAGCTGTAAGAGGCTTGGCCTGCGTTTCCTCTTCAGGCAGGAACATCCAGGAGATTTTTTTTGCCTGATGTTGTTCGTTTTTCCCCAAGTGGGACACGTGGGTTTGCTCCAAAGCTCTGCGTGTTCTCTGTTGCTGTTCCAAGCTTCCAGTGTTAAAAAGAGTTCCTCCCATGGGATAAGGACAGACTATGCCTAATTTCTTGGCTCTAACAGTGAGGCTGCAAATACCTGGCATGAGCCTGTAATCTGGCATGTGCCTATACTGTTCAATAAAATTGTTTACATTTTCCTACCAGAAGATTTAGATAAAAATCAAAACAAGCTTAGGGGGTTGTTTTTTGTTGGAGTTTTTTTTTTATCTGTTTGTTTTGGTTGGGGGTTTTTTTAGTGTTGCTGTTATTGAATCAGTGTTAAAATATTTTTTTTCTGTTGTTGCTGAGTACAGCCTGATAGTATTTTTAATGTAATTGATTCTTGTTTATTTAAAATGACTTGTGAAAAACTGTACTGTAACTGCTCTATGAAAAGGGACACTATCAAGAGAAAAGCTGGATACAAAAAATTAACATACCTATATTAGAAATACTTTAATATTGAAGAATTTAAAAACAAATTGAGTCATAACACTTGAGCTGCTTGGGCATGAAAATCCTATTATGGGCAGCCTCAGTTGTTGTGAGGATGCCTGAAAAATGTAACTGAATTCTGTGGGTTGAGCTGATTTTTCATGTAGCTTTTCCTCTCACTATTCCAGAATAAAGGACTCAATCCTTTTTTTCCCTTTTCCAGACTCTCTGTGTGTGTCTTTATCTTTTAAAGACACAAGCTTCCTATTGCAGCAGCAGCTTTGATTCAAAGGTGTACAGAAAAACCAGAACAAACCCTCTTTTCAGCATTAAGTGCAAAATACACATAAAGTACATATTTTAAGGCTTATTCTTGACAGTGTCCCTTTTTAAAAAGCAGGAAAATGGGATCACTTTAAGTGCTTGGGTACAGGGGAATAGTTTCCTACTAGAAATTGGAATTATCCAATATATTTTCTAGAGAGTTTTCCGGTTAGTTACACAAAATCACTTGTCATTTTAAAGGATTATAGAAGTAAGACAAGCAACTCTGGGTTTATAATCCTGTATACCTTATACCTTCTATATCTGTTCAATACACCAGGATGGGTTTTTACTTTTTTTAGGACTGAGACTTAATAGATTAAGGCAACTTTTTCTTTAATGTAATGTAAAATCCATTGCTGCTTTGTACAACTTTTTCTACTGTGTGTTTTCTTTACTTAGATCTTGACTAAGAAACGTTGACGTCCAATAAACTTACACTTTGTTTCTTTTGAGTCACCGTGTCTTCTGCTGGGATCTCTTGGCAGAGGTGTTGTTATTGTACAAACCATTGTGTCTGCAGAGTAGGAAGTGAGTTTGTAAGAGAGCATCTTTTGTTCTGTTTGTTGGATGGAAGTGCTACTTGTACATTACTAAAATAGTGGGGGGTTGTTTGTTTTAGTAAGTGCCTCACTGAACCTTTTACTGGAAAATACAGGAAAACCAACTGCTCCAGACAATCTCTTAAAAACTTGAGCGCAGCCCAGATCCTGCTTCATGTGCAATCAGTGATTTGTGGGAGGAATGTCTCCATCTAAAACTGGACTGAGCCAGATGTTTGAGAAGACACAGCAATGTTTCTGGTTTTGCAGCACTCTCATCCAAAGCAGTTTTGCTACATGAATTTCCCTCTTCAAAACCCCTTGTGTGGGAATGTAGTGTGTGGATTCCCATAAAGCAGAGAATGAGTTTTTTAGCTTTTGGGAATGGGGTTTACTCAGTTCCTCTCCACACTAGGTGTGACCTGTCTTTGAGAGCATTTAGGCCAATTTTCTCAACTTCTTGGACTCCACATTTGCTGTCCTCTGCCATTTTTGCCTCGTGCAGTGTGGTTGGACCCACTGACCAGTTTTACCCACATTTAACAAAGGAGACAAGGTCTCAAGAATCAACATCCCACAAGTTCTGTGCAAATCCCTGCCTGGGTGTCAAGGAATGGTGTCAGTGGGACACCACAAATCCAGTGGGAAAGGATAAGATTTGCACAGAGGATGTGTTCAGCACTCACCTGCACTTTTTAACCCCAGCACTTGTCACTGTGTGTGTGCACTGACCTCTCAGAGGGAGCAGGGCAATGGCTCAGGTGGAACACAAGGCAGAGCTGAAGGACCAACTGTGCCAAACATTTGGATCAGGGGTTAAAAGGGCACTCTGAGCTCAGGAGGATTTGGGCCTGTCCTTGAAAATGGGGACAAAGGGCTCGTGGTTTGTCCCTCTGTGGGGTATCCCTGCCCCTCACAGGTTAGGGGAGCTGTGGAAAAGGTAAAAAGAGGGTGGAGAGCTGCTCTCTGACCCATTCACAGTCTTAAATCCCCGGAGATATAGCTGTCTCTTTCTTCTTTCAGATCAGAACAACTCCAGCTCTTCCTGCATCCAGTTAATACTGACACACAGTCCTCTCCCCATCACTGTTTCAGCACAGACTGACCTCTGCTAG